GTTTGCAGTAGTTTTGAGGGGTTTTACATTCAAAATAAAGACAATGAAAAAGACGCATAAGAACATTAATTTCTTTAAAGTTGCTGAAGACAGTTGAAATGTATCTGTGTAACTTCCTTGAACCAAAGGTCAGGCACAGCAATAAAAACTGTCCCATAAAGATAGTGAGAGCTGTAATCAGCAATAAACAGGAACAATGAACAAATGTGTGTGAATATGTTTTCACATATGGACGTATGTGAAAGCTTCAATGAACAAATCCAACAGGAATAAAGAGACACACTCATTATAAAGTCATAGAGAAGTTTCATCTTGAGGGATTTCTATCAGTTTCTTTGTCTTCACTGTGACAAAGTATATTTTCATTGTGACACATGAAACATCAGATCCAACCTGTCTTTACCTTCCTGTCAGTGTTTAAGACTGAAGATGTCTCACACTGGTCAGATCATCACACAGAGGGAAACAGAGGCCTTAAACATGTCTGTGTCCAAAATGAACTTGAAAGTCTTCCAGGTTATGAAGGACAGCGGGTAAAGAATCTCCTTCTATCTGCTGCTAATAAGAACAGATACTGTATTTTCACCATCAATGATTAACCAATGAAAGGTTGTAAAAGAGAAATCAGATTGTGACCTTGTTGAACAGAACCACGCCGGCAGTGCTAGTGCACTGTGATAGATCTCTATGGAACGACGCACATTCAGAGGACTGAAAAAGTCAAAGTGAAGGGAAACAACAGTTGGTGAGTATTTCAATGACAAACACTTTGGACAAACAGAGAAAAGTTTCCTGAACTTATATTTGTAAGATTTCTGGATGTTTTGATGAGTTCTTTCAGTTTGGATCATGTTTTAATTTCAGTTTTTTACCCTTTACAATCTCAGTGGATCTCTACACATTCAGACTCTGATTGGTATTTGTTCTGCAACAGAACTGAAATGAAATATCCAATATGCAACTCGCTGTTAAAACATGTATCAATCATTAAAACAGGCGGATAGAGGGACAGCAGCTGAACCCACAGTTTGGTGTCACATTTAACACATTCATTGAAATGAATGTTAAAAACAAACTGGAATGAATGTAGTGATCTGTTATGGACACATTTTAGACTCAGTGACTTTAGTTCAGTCTGCTGTGCTGGAAGGGAACAGCAGCACCTGACTGCCAGGACCTATTTCACCTGTTTGAATATAAAAGGTTTCTTGATTTCAGCAGAGGGGCTTTTACAATCGGGGGGGGGGTTTGTGCTTGGGAGACTGTGTTAGGGAAGTGCAATGCATCCTGGGACTGGACCCCTAAAGTAAAGAGGGCATGTGTTCCCCTGAAATAGTCGCCATTTTGATGATGTCAGCATTTGAAATAATTTCCTCAGAAAGG